TTCTGAGAAAAAAGTCAGAATTCTGAGATTAAAGTGAGAATTCTTTTTCTACCAAAATAAAAATATTTTTTTTGTTCTGAGAAAAAAGTCAGAATTCTGAGGATTTGAAAACCAAAAAAAAATTTGGAAGAAAAAAGTCAGAATTCTGACTTTAATCTCCCAAAAAATTTTTGGGTTTTCAAATCCTCCCAAAAAAATAAATAATGTGGCCCTAATCCTCTTCCGTAAATGTATATATTCATATATATATATTATTTTCTGACAGCATGTGTATGTTTTTAAACCTTACAAATATTTGGACTACTGCCAAAATGAACATGACATTTTTTCATGCCAATTCTTGCCCCACAAAAAGTAATCTTTAGGTTTTCAATAACCTTTCCAGATTTCCACGTAGACAGATTTTCGGCGTGAAAAAACCCACATGTACGCAGACACATGGCCACCTCACCGATAACCCGGTTGTTGTTTTCGTCTTTATCTCACAGTGATTAAAACGGGGGAGACCGGTCTGACTGTCTTCAGGCTCCTCAGTAAGTGCAGTGGCTGGGTGTGGGTGAAATCCAACGCCAAGCTGATCTTCAAAAATGGAAGACCGGATTTCATCATCGCAGACCAGAGAGCTTTAGTGTGAGTTTTTGATCCTTTAACAACAGTGGCTTCATGGGTTGATAATAAAGATGTTACTATAGGGCACTTCATCAGCAGAACATTAGATGCACCTGCAATAAAAAAAAACACTTGCTCAATCAATCCCCTTAATAAGAATCCTATCCTGGTGGCAGTAATGTAACATTTGCTATTTGGTGTGTTTCAGCAACGCCGAGGGGGAGGAGTATCTGCGTCAGAGGAGCCTGCAGCTTCCCTTCAGCTGCACCACAGGAGAGGGCGTCCTCTACAACGCCGGCCCAACGGTGGACATCACACAGTATCAGTTCGACAAAAAGTTCAGCAGCACCAACGACATGAGCCAGCATGTAATCCCCGGGTCGCTGGTGGACTGCTTCATGAAGCAGGATGAGTCGGCCTACATGCCAGCATTGGAAAGCCAGTTTTCTGTGGATCAGGTGTTCATGGACAGCGAGGCCCTGATCAGCGTGGGTAAGGCGTGGCAGGAGAGTGGAGCTACAGGCACAACGGAGCCTGTGGTAGTGAAAGAGGAAGCCAAGCGGTCGGTGATGGCCGTCATTGGCAACCTGGAGAAGTTGAGTCACGACGGGGACTTCTGTGCAGCGCTGCAGGACCTGGAGGTGGGTGATTCAGAGCTGATGGACTGGGAAAATGCCCTCAAGAGATTAGGTCAGGACGATGATCAGCGAAACAACGTCAAATCCGAGCTGGACAGCATCCTCACTGATGACATCTTTGACTACATTGATAATGTTTTGTTCAAAGAGAAGGAGAAAGATCTGAGCACCAGCCCGCCCAGCTGCCTGACAGCGGCCAACAACAACCAGCAGGACCGCTTCACTGCCCAGCTGTCAGCCGCTGCCCTCGGAGAGCAGCAGTTGTTTCAGACCATGAGCCCCGAACTGAATTACTCTCCGATGAATGGACTCTACGCTCACCAGCAGGAATCAATGAATGGCCCAGCGATAGCAGAGTCTGCTCAGATATTCAGCAGCACCCAGAAACTCTCTCACAACGGTCCCCTGATCTCTCAGGCCGACACCAACCTGCTCCCTCTTCAGCAGCTGCAGCTCCATGACATTTTCAGCCCGTCTATAGAGCTCCCGGAGCTCACTGTCCCCAACCACATCGCTGGTGTAGCCTCAGCCCCGTTTCAATCCTGCGGGCAGGTATCTAACAACCACATGGGCGGCACTCGTGGGATTTCTGCACAGACGCAGTCCAGCCAGTTCCTGCTGCGTCCTCAAAACAATGTGCAAGCTCCTGCAATGGCAGCGAACGGACAGTTACTGCAGAGCTTTGTTCAACAACCAAACCACGTGGCCGCAGGTGTAATAGACATTTTGCCACCCCTGATTCCTTGCATTAACTTTATTTCGGGTAGCACGCCTAATATACCTGTTCCCTTTGCCACAAATCCCCTGCAAGGAAGGGGCCCTTTTGAGGCGCACAGCCCCCAGGTGCATCCGTGGCCTCAGAGCCAGCAGCAGCTTCCTGACTCTGGCATCATGCAGAACGGACACAAACTGATGCCAGTGTGCAACAGCCAACTTAAGGAAAGCCAAACATTCTCGCGTGCCGGCCTCTGGCCACGGAGCGTCCCCGGACTGAACCACGCTCAGCAGAACGGGCTGACGTGCGGTCAGGCAGCCACTCACATTAGCTGCATGTTCGAACAGCACTTTTCTTCCGGGCCAGCAGGTGTCAACGTCCGGGATTTCTCTGGCACTTCAGGCCTGAGGGGGGCCGACCCGTCCCTGGATCAGAGTCCTCCTCAAGGGTCCTGCTACTTCCAGTGGAGCCACAGCGAGCCGGTGGTGGGATCGTCCGCCATCAACCAGGAGAACGCTGACATCAGTCCTCTGACGGCCCCCCCCATCATGCCCTCCTCAGACCACACACTCAACATTCCTCACTACCTGGAATGCCACAGACACACACAGGTAAACAGTCATCTCACAACCACAAGATCAGAAATGGAGAAATCAATGAAAAATGATTATTGTCAGGCCATTTTAGATTTATGATCCCAAGAGGATATTTGTTTACAGCTTGTACACAACTGAAATACACATAGCAACACAGCAACAGAACATGCACATAGCAACAGATCCACAAGTAGTAATATTCAAATATAAAGATAGTACTGAGACTTCATGTATGCATCCATACCACAATTAAAACAAATCATTGTTTATCCTATAAGACTATTTGAAGCTTCCTAGAACCCAAATGTGACGCATTCAAGTTCCATCTTTTGTCCCCAATGTTACACGTTTCATGATATGAAACAAAGAAGATTCTCCTTATTAAAGAAGCAGGAATTTGTTTTGTCATTTTTTAATATAAGAATAATAACATTTAAATGTTTTGTCATTGGCTCTTTAGTTTGGCCAATTATTCCGGCACATATTTAATATTATTAAGTTGAAGGTATTGAGAAATAAAAACAGCTGCTTTCAGATTTTTCCTGATTTTTGCTTGTTTCTTTTGTTTTCGTAAACTCACCATGTGTGCTCTCTGCTTGACCCCGCAGGATGAGAGAGTCTCCGCTGAACTCAATGGGATGTTTTCCACTCCTTCCCGTGACGTATCCATGTTCCTGACAGAGTGAAGTCAGCCATCGTGTTACTTCTGTAGCGAAAGAAAACCCCGGAGAAGGACAGATCTCAGTATAAAGTTCGCCTGTATCAGTGCTTATTCACAGACTCTCATGCTTACCAATATTGCCATATGTTTTATATAACTCTGTATCATTTATATGTCGTCCAGTCTGTGATGTTTAAATGTTTGGCTTTCAGTTTTTAGTGAAGATACACTATAGTAATAATGAAGTATAAAGCCGATGTGCGTTTACCGGGATGGAGCTTGAGCCAGCTGGGAGGATTGGTCAAGAAAATCCAAAGAGCCAAAGAAATAGGTTTTTATAAGGGAAGCCAGGCCAGGGACACCCATTATCTCCCAACGTATAAATACCTAAAAAACACAAAAAAACTCAACATACTGTTTTGTTTTTGATTAAATATAATCATTCTACACTTTAATGCTGATAAAGTTGAGACTTTTTCTAAAAGACATCGTGAAAATCTTCGTAGTAATCAGTGTACAGAATCGCTGAAGGTGACCTACCTGAAAGCACAGCTGTACCTTCAAATTAATATTATTACAGATGAAATAATCTGTGTATTTTAAATGAAACCCTTAAATGTGGTTATTGTAAATGTATAATACAATCTGTAACTATATTAGTAGTATTTGTTTCACCAAGAGATCCGCTTTGGCTCACAACAATCTCTCATATACATACTCGGCATGTGATATCTGTGATAATCTGTGCAGTATAAATGTGCTTTTCTGGATAACGCCTGTCAGTTAGGCATGCATACATATCTCAAATCCCAAAGTGTAAGAGCAACAGTACACACAGCAGAAAAAAGCAGAGAAATCAATTGCTAACTACTGTGAGCAATGCAAATGTCGTTTTATTTCCATTTCAGTGACATATTTTAATAAGCATAGCTGCAGTTGAGTTGATTTGAATGCACTGCTGCTAACTAAACCTATACTTGTGGGTTATTTTAAGAAGCATCTTACTCACAGCAATTGAACTAAAAGTAAACTGCAAGTCCTGAGCTTCAGTAAATCAGTCCATCAAAAATCACTTAACACCACATTCCCCTTAACTTGTATGCACTGATCTCAACAAAATGCTCAGTGATTGCAAGAAAGACATATTGTAGTTTCAGGTAATATTGGAGACTCAGCCTGAGTTATTCATTTACATCCCTCAGAGGTGTGCACTTTATTTCATGTATTTTCTAAACTTCTACAAGTGCAAACGGCTGATAAACACAATGCAATCAACTGACTTGATGCAGTATTGAGGATCGCCTGAATTAAACAAGTCATTAATCAGCCCGTTCCACCTGCATCCCTCACACAGAAATACTCTTTTCCATTCTCCAATATTCCGTGGTCCTACATGGGAACACCCTAAAATATATCTTGCTTCAACCCAAACATTAATTTATATAGCAATCAGCATGACCATATACACTTTATTGTGCCTTGATGCCGGATCGGCAGCTTAACATATCTTCATATACATGAAATATATCTGTGCCTTGTTGTATAACGCATCTTAAATAATATGTTCCTTTTTGTTTTCCTAAGGCGACCCTGTAGAGCTGCACTAATTTAAGGGAAGCCATGTCCATATAGGAGATACAGTATCCTTACTGTAAATGAAATGATTGATCCTGCATTGTGCATTTCAAGGCTCTGAGGAATTTGTTGGTCCATTTTCCATTAAACAAAAACGTCCTATACAATGGAAACAAGGGAACATGTTTAGCTTGACCTATCTCTATAGAGATGGTAAGATTTCTTTCATTGATGAGCGGAGGATTTAGTGTTGAGACTTTGAGATTCAAACTGGTCCAACAATGCGTTCAGATCATATACACTTTGTTTTGTGTGTTTCCTGTTTGGCCTTTTCGTGTTGGTTCCTTTTGTATCTGCTTCTCAACAGGTCTTTGTAATATCCACACTACAATAAACGGCATGAATGGTTTGGATTAACCTGAGCGCAAACAGCATTAACATGGCAGCTTTACCGTATTCCTGCTGCACCGTGGGAACTCACTCAGTATTTTACCTTTCCTTAAGAAACAATTGTGTATGTTCTTTTGGAAACCTTTCAGTACAGTGCTTAAAACTGATTGGACACATTATAATATGGCCTTCTCGCCGGTGTCCCTTTTTGCTTCTTATTTTGTACGTGTTGAAAAAGTATAGGATCTCAGTGTGAAGCAGACTGGAGGCGATGAGGACAGCCTATAAACAGCCTTGGATATTGGACTTTGATACAGACATGTCATGACTGTAGCCACTATGAAAAACCTGGAGCCAAATGTTTTCTTCACAGCGGTGTTGATGTTTCTATGCTAACATGTGCCTTGCCATATTTCTGTTATTCGTAAAAAAAAAAGTAAAGAAAAAAAATTCACAACTATTCAGTTCATGTAATCCACTTAAGCCTAGTAGTTATAGTATCTATATATCATAATATATGTTGTAAAAAAACAGCCTTTGTCTACTGTTAAATGCTTTTTCATAAATATATGTGTGCAATGATTACAATTGTGTTTGGCGCTTTATTTAATTGTTGTAATGCTATTCATCCTTTCATCTGTATGTGAGAAAAGAATAAGGGTTTAGAAAACAAGGACAGGCAAGGATAAGCAGCACTGCTATGAAAGACTCAGGCCTGTTTTTTTTTCAATTTCTTTTAGAAATAAAAGATGGATTGTCCTCCAGAGGGCTCACTCTCCCTCTATTTCCCACCAGTTACTCATGTAAACAGCAGCTGTATCACAGAAGCCTCTGTAGGTTGATGATTATGGCAAAACAAAAATGTTACTATGGATAAACAATCATTACTACTTTGATTATTATGGATATTTATATTACTACTACTTCAAACAGATAGTTAACTGCCATAATGCAGCTCATGTCTTTCTTCAAGATTAATTAAACAATGCTATATTTTATTTTATGTAGACTTTAATGAGACTGAACTGCCTATTTGTCACTAGATTAAAAATACTTAACATGGGGTACCTCATGGACCAAAAAGGGCAATGTACTTAATTAAAAAGCCATGCATTAGAATAAATAAAACAAGCATCTGCCTCATTGTATGGCGTTTTGAAGAATATATTTCACACCCTCTACATTTGAAATGGACATTATAAAATAGCTGACAATGAAAGGAAAGCTATTTAGGAACAACTGTGAGGCTGTACAATCCTGCAACTCATGTTACTGCCGGGGACCTGGATGAGGGGCAGGAGCATGGCCCCACCTGCTGGCAGCAACATACATGCTAACTGCTAGCTTGATACAGAATATGCTTTTTTGCTTCCCGTGTATTTTCTATTTGTATATTATACGTGTTCAAGAAATGGCTTTCTGGATATCAAACATCTTTCTGAGAGGATTATCAAAAATGAAAACAGCGGGACAACACGGTAAAACATGGCTAATGTTAGCCAAACTCAGGTACGTGCCATAGACTGTATGTGCCCAGACATTATTACTAGAACCAGATGGTTGGAAGAAGTACGTAAATTCTTAGTAGAAAGAATTATGTTGTGTGTTGTTCACATCTTTAATCCAAATCTGTAAAGTAACTAAATATATTAAATAAATGAAGTGAAAGTACACCATTTACCTTTAGAATTACTGTTGGGATTAAGTACAAAGTAGCAAACAATTTAAATACTTAAGTAAAGTACAAGTCCCTGAAAATTGTATTTAAGTACAGTACTTGAGTAAATCTGTCCAAACTAACCCGTCGTTTTGGCCCCAGCATTTGTAAATGAGCTGCTTTGGTTAGTGTTTAGCCTTCACTTGCTTCTATAACACATTAGTTCCCACCATAGACTGTATAACAACATAAAGTACATTCTTCAATCAGTAAAATGTCAAGTATAGAATAAAATGCTTTTTTTGTGTTTTTCATCTGATCATAGTTGAAAGGCATGTCAGTTCGAGAGTCACATCAGTGTGAATTCAGCAGGGATTTGATTTAAAAAATGTATTTAATAATTAAGTCATTCTCTACACTTAGTGTTTGCCTCCTATGTGGCATTAATGCTTAGATGAGAATAATTTATTGAATTGCATATCTACTGTAGATCTACAAAATACCATATATTTTATTAATGGGAATTTATAATTATTTAAATAACTTTCAGGTAAAAAAAAGAAGAAAAGCAAGCCTACCTATAAGGATACTGTTTACTTAAAGTTAAAAAAGGTATCCAATACTTTACTGTAATGTACACATATTGGCCTTGATGCTTGTTATTTATGCCTCAACCTAGAGAACTACTCTATGGCTGTGATATATCAGTGGTTGGAACCAGATTGTCCTTTCCAGGAAGTGTTTGTCTGGTTAGAAGAAAAAAACATATGTATGGCCTTTGTACTTATTGAGTCTATATGTAGTCTAGTTTATCCTCTGGAAAGTGACATGGTCGCAATGTTCTAACCACCAAAAGCCCACTTTCCAAAGTCATAGGTTTTGTATTTTTGTGAAAGCTGTAAAATAACAAGACCTTTTTTCCAAAACAGAATTGGACCCCAGGCCACAATCTAAATGATGACAACCCTCATACATTTTTCAGTAGTTTATTATTTCCACTGCAGAGGCACATTGAGGACAAGAGTCTGTGTGCTAACGTCATATTATACAGCTTATTGTATGACTTGTTTTCCAAGTTCTTTTACACTGTCAACAGGAATTAGAAAAATAAATGCGTATAGAGAATTTTTTCAGGCAACATTACAGATTGACAGATCTTCAATGCTGAATGCCAGATATCTAATTTTTACAATAGGTTACAGATGGTTTTAAGAAAAAGATATTCTGGAAAAACAATAAACAAAACGTAATGCATTGTCAATAAAGTCATACTATTTTTAGAGTCACAAAGACAGAACAGATATTGTTATTAATCAATCAATCAATCAATGTTTATGTATATAGCCCAATATCACAAATGTTACATTTGTCTCAGTGGACTTCACAGTTTGTACAGAATATCAGTATGACAACACGACACCCTCTGTCCTTAGACCCTCACATCGTAGGAAACACTTCCAGAGAAAACCCACAGTTTAAAGGGAAACATGGGAGAAACCTCAGGGAGAGCAACAGAGGAGGGATCCCTCTCCCAGGACGGACAGACGTGCAATAGATGCCGTGTGTAAATTGAAAAGATAATACATTTACAACATATGTAGTCCAAATGTTTGGAAATGCATGTGTCTTATAATAAGAATGTCAGTGACATAAAACTTAACCATTATACCACTAGTACTTGTGTGCCAGTCTGCCTCGTTTCCAAAATGGTTACATCTATTGTAAATGCTTGATTGTGGGTCGACTATGGGAAAAATCATCATCCAGATTAAATTAATCAATATTTAGACCCTTTTTATTTTGACGTCATGATGACATCATGTTGTTAGCTGAAGGCAAATGTAAAAACTTGAGGCAAACAAGTCAGTGATAGGCTAAAGTGAAACATCTTTGTATTAAATGTAATTCGGTGCCAGAATCCATATACTGTAAGCATGGCCCAAATTTCATTATTGCTCGATAGCTGACGACATCAACAATTTGACAACAACAGCGTCTCTAGATAAGACTTTATCAGGCATTTTGTTCCATCCACTGGCTATCAGCTGTGTTCTCCAGTCACTCTTACCGTGTGGGGAACAGTTCTGTCACGCATGACGAAATCTGTAATGAAATGAAATCAAAACCTTAACTACATTAAACCTTATGTGTAGCTGCTGTTGTTTTTGTCCTCTATCGTTAGTTTTCTAAGGATTATATTCTTGAACATGTAGCAGTAGACTTGATGGTCATATCCCCAAGTGGAATGAGTACAACATGGAAGAAATACTATAACCCCCCCCCTCATACCCACCCACCAGCTTGGTGTGCTTCATCCAGTCTGAAGGGACTCCTCTGCTGAGTGCACGACTCCACCCAGACTGACAGGACGACCTTGACAGCAGACAGACCTTAAAGACAACGGCTCTCTTTTTTCCTGGTACTGTCGGGCTCAGAGCAGAAAAACACATTTACAGCTGTGGTGTGTGTCCGTCCCGCAGGGCACACAGTGTCTAAACAAACACACAACCTTTCTTGTCCCTGACCCCCATCTCCTGCAGGCATGAAGGACGAATGCCTACAGATGATGTGTACAGGGAAAAAACTCAAATATACACACAGTAAACTTAGAGTGACAGGAAGGCTGAGGTAAATCATGAATAAGTGATTTGCCTTTGTCTGTGTAGTTGTCGATAATTAGAACCCAAGAAACTGGATGAAGGCTCCAATCAATAACTTGCACTGATGTGAGGGGTGGTTATTGTTCCAGACTTCTCACTCAAAAAGAGGGACAAGTTATTTCCCAAACAGTCATAATGCTGTGTTAATTAGCAAAACCACATTTCCTTTTAGACCTTTTCTGGCATCACCTGGATAGCAGTAATCATTATTGGAATGCTTCTTGTACTTTTTACCCTGCTACTTCCAGAAAGGAAAAATGTATCTATTTTTTTAAAAGCTTTACAATTCAGTTTTTCAAAACTCACATAATATCTGACTTGGCCCAAATGGTCATCTTTCCCACATGACTGGAGTAACCCCTTAAAACAGAGCAACATCACCATCCTTGGGGACCTTAAAGCTGCAATAAATGAAGTCGACTACAATACAACCATGTTGGCCTAGTTTTATTTCTACATGTGTTGTGGGGGGTCTTCAGCACCCTAAGGGGGTCTAAAGTGGTCATGTGAATCAAATGTATGCATTTCCGTAGCTGAGCATCTACACGTATGTCTTTGTCTGCTGTCAAAACACAATGAATCTCTGCATCTCTGTTTTCACATAATCAACATCTCCCCCAGGCGAGCTATGAATTATGTACATATATTATGTAGATTGTAAACTTGTATTTTGTGTAAAAAAAGAAACAACGCATTACTGACTGAATTATGTCTAATGGTAGGGGGAAAAGATTTATATTAGAATTGAAATTCTTATCTTCTGAGATTCTATATAGATCCAACATTTATCACAATAACTTATTAATAACAATGGACAATAATACACACCATGTCAACGTTTTTTTTTAATCATTAATGACTGAATAACAATACAGTGATATTTTTAAAACATTTCTGCTAGCTGTCTTGTTGAGTTTTAACTGTTCATTCTAATTTTAAGTAAAATGATATTTGTGCATATTGCATTTTTCCTGAAAATTGTCTTCCAAGGAAATGCCTCTATCATTAACTTTCTTTTTTTAATTTGCATAATGACAGGGTCTCCATATAAGAAAAAGGACTATATCATGAAGATATGATGATCACCTGGAGAATGTAAGTCAAATATGCACCTTTTTGCTCTGTTATACCAACTCCTGAGAGAAACATTGACAACTAGACATAAGTACACTGTGTCTATCTGCAGTTTCCTGTTGAGTAAAGCTGTATTTTAGATTTGTTTAATTAAAACTGAAAACAGGTGCCTGCTGGTGTGGCTGAAAAGACTTGGGGAATGAAAGCTAAACATTGCAGCTCCCTAGAGAGGAGCTGCACATCAGGTGATACTACTCTGTCGGTTTGCATTTGTATTTATTAAAAAACGAAGTGGCTTCAAATAAATAACTATAGTTTCAGATCTACTAGCATTGTTTTTAGTCTCCTGGCTGCAGGTTCTTCTCATTTCCTGAAGCTCGCTGCAGGTGAACATCCTCAGAGAGTTCTTCTGGATGTTGAAATGAATTCAGTTCCATTATTTAAAAGTCTAACCTCTGACCCACATTCAGCACGGGCCACCGCAGGCTCAACATAAACCTCCATCTCTCATCTGAGCGCTGATTGGACGGTGGACCTCCCTCGTGAACGCGCCGGCGTGCACTCTCTGCCTGTGTTTCCAGGAGACTATCCCACTTGCCCGCGCTACGGTGTTGTAATTTATAAGAAGCTTCTTGAGCGCGCCCCAGTCAGAAACCTGTGTCGGGCGTGCCCGCCAGTGGAATGCGCGCCCCCGCTGCCCCCCTTGCAGCTCATGTCCGACGCTAATTGGAGTGCACCACTGATGTCGATTATAACATGTAAAATATCTGAAGCTTTCCCTGCAGTTATTTGGAGTTGTTTAGTAATATTTATAAACTGGAGGAATGAGGAGCAGGGTTACTCTGCAGATTGAGTTTCTTCTCAGATAATTTCATCCTTTTTCTCTTGGATGACACTCAACATCGCCTTTTTACTTGGAGCAACTTCATCTTTCTGTGAGGGCTAATGGGACAGCAACTCTTTCATCGTGTTTCTGCGTTGTCCTTTTTAGCGGATCTGTTTCTGCAGAACCTCCTGTTTTAGTTTTGTTCCTGTAGCTTTTGGTTGAACTCCCAAGTGAAGCGGCCCATATATAAGAGGCAGAAGAGTCCTGCTCCACCGAATTTATCGCGTTCGGTGTTTTCTTTTCGTTTTACTTGATATTTTTCTCAGTTTTACAATGTGTTTACAGTCTTGATCTGGAGGATTACCGAACATTATTGTTGTTGGCTTACATGTAGCGGAGAAATAGGCTCTGTGTATTTCTGAGGGATTCATCCGAGGCTTATATAAGAAGAGCCGTCATGTATGCTGGACGTAAGAGGAGAAAACCAGTCCAGAGAGCGTAAGTTCAATTTATTTTTAATATATTTGTATTACTATTGCCAAATATATACTTTTCATTGAAATAAACCTCGTATTTAAATGTTAAATCGACCTGCAGAGTATGCGTTATTGGGATGTTAGTTTCAAAATGAACCAACCTGCGACAAGCACCTTACAGAAACCAGATTCTTAATCGATTTAGAACATCGATTTCATTCAAGATTTCGTTTGTTTCTTAATGTAAAGTAATTTTAATACACCTGCATTTGATAACTATATATTTATTAATAAACGTTTGGTCGTATTATGCACTTTAACACGGTGGAAATGGTCAATACTGTAATGCCTGCGGATTATTGCAGGCCTGTAACTGCAGCCTGATTTTAACCTTAAACTTTTCCCTTTTGATTCTAATTCATAAATACATTTTTAATATTTCACAGTTAATAAACAACAAATCAACTAATGTGCTTTTATGTTTTTGGTGTTTAGTTTTTTCTCAAAATGTCACTGAGCCTCTTGGTGTTGCGCCATTTTCTGTCATAACGCCCTTCGGAGGAGACCTTTTTTTTCTCGTCATGTTTTGATCGGTTTAGGGGTATTGCATGATTGGTCGTTTATTTAAATCATGAATTTGTCAGGCCTAATATTTTAGAAATCTGAATACGAAAAACATGCCTTGTCCCTTTTTATTTTATTAGATCGAACAGTTTCCACTTTTACCTGACTTTTTCCAAGCATACATTTGATTGAACCATTAGGATTAATGATAAGAACTTCAAAATTGAACAAAAACAATAATTATAACTGAGCTATAATTATAAAGTCTGAGCAGTTGCATTTATTGTTTGGCTGTGACATCATATTCAGGCAGCCATTTCACTGCCACTATTACAATTTAAAACCAGGTCCAAACATTTAAGCAAAAGCGTATGAAACAAAAGCAGGCCTTTGTATGTTCTGTGTTCTGTGATGTGATCACATGTGACTGAGTTTAGAAAAGCTCCTAACTGCACAGTGAGACTCAACATCCAGTCAGACTGCTGCTGCCTGGTGAGGACGTTATTCATCTGCTGGTTAACATGACTGCAGCTCTCTGCCGTAGCTTCTGCTTCAAGTCATTTTTTGGATAAGAAATTCATGAAGTGACTGTGAGTGAGACCTGCTACAGGCAGTGGGACAGGTGCCTTTGTAAATACTAAAATATGGGAGAAATTAAAGACAAAAATGTATAGGGTGTATTATAATTCTTAAAAAGAGAATGTAAAACTGTTGGTGAAACACAAGTCGTGAGAAAAAGTAATCGGGTTTTCAGCTGAGGAAAGAAGTGGATCATGAAAAGGCCTTTCATGTAAACACACATGAATACACACACAAACGGATACATTGATCAATGACTGTTTTGATAATTTATTGATTTATGGCTTGCTGGTAGCAGAAACCCCGATGTGAAGATGTATTGCATTAAAGCAGTATTCTTTTTTATATTTTGTATTTACATCTTTTGGACCAAACTGAAAAACAAACTTTGAATTAATCATGATTAAAAAATATTCCTTTTACTACACACACACACACACACACACACACACACACACACACACACACACACACACACACACACACACACACACACACACACACACACACACAAGCACACTGGCTTCCATCACTGAAGTGCAGTATCTCCATCGATATTGAAGCTAAGTGATGAATGTGTCAGTGTATCAGTTATGAACAGTAATAGCCAATCAATTGAATGCTTAGTGTCAAATATTTTGCTGCAATATTGTTGATGTTTGTAGGTCTAAGAAAAATAAAAACGACAACTAAATCCAAGTTCCTAATGTTTTCTGACTATGTTAAGGCTACACAGACCCCATTTAAAAAAAATAAAAAAATAATAACCTCCTTTCAGGGTATTCAGTGTGTTTTTTTTTCTCATTTAAATACTTGGTACAGGAATGTCAAAAGAATAAAGGAATATTCTTATCAAACAACAATGATATTAATAATAATAGGCAGGTTAGGAACATTTAAATATTATTTGTTTGTGTGTATTTGTCTTTTTAGGGTATTTATATTAATATCATTCATGTGATGCATCACAAATGTTTTTTTCTTTTTTTTCTGTGTTATGACCCAACTTAGAATCTTTCTCTGAGATGGGGTTTCATAGTAAGGCCCCTTCTTTTATATTTATTAATTAGCAAAGGTTATACTATTTTACACAAGTTAGAAATACTCCTTTTAATCTGCCTCCTCCTGCATTACATGTGTTGTATTTTGGAAAGTATTGACCTTTGATACAAGCCTACAGCTAACAATGTTTTAGAAGACATTTAATTACCCTTTCCCAAACTGCAGAATCTTTGGAAATGCTGTGTCAATATGAAAAATGTGTTGTAATAAATCCACTTAAAAAGGGGCAATTTCATTTGAAGCATTTGCGTAGATCAAAATGCTTTTACTAAAGTTGATTTTGAGTTGCTAAAAATAGCACTCGCACACAATTGAGCTGCAATCATTTGCTGTGTCATTCTTATGGAAAGTGCAAAAAACAATGCATGCAAAACATTTATTTTAACTTTCGAAATTCTATTAAATAATTTGAAGAACTTTAAAAATATTGCAAAATCTGGTATAGGACCATCAAGGTGTATTTGTTATAATCTCAAAATCTATCACTGCACCCAAACATGTTTTCTATGGCTTGATGGTTGAATGAATGAAAGGATATCACAGAGAAGTCATATTTATATTACTGTTGGGGTCCCCTTGGGCCCTTACCAAATCCTGGGGATTTTGTTGTGACCTCTCCATTTATTGTTTTTCAGGGTGAAGCAGGCACCCTCTGAAGGGGCCAAGTCCAACCCGTCCAAACGGCATCGGGACCGTCTGAACGGGGAGCTGGAGCGCCTGGCCAGCCTGCTGCCGTTCCCCGAGGAGGTCACCGCCAGTCTGGACAAACTCTCCATCCTCCGCCTGAGCGTCAGCTACCTGCGCGCCAAGAACTTCTTCACCGGTAAATTCACTTTTTGAACTGTGTATTTATTGCTTGGAATATAACGGTTCCGGCTCCCAGTGTTATTGGTGTTCTGACAAACCTGGGACTTATCATATCCATCATCAGGCAAGGCGAGGCAAGTTTACTTATATAGCACTTTTCAACACAAGGCAATTTAAAGTGCTTTACAAAATTGAAAGACATTAACATTTCATTTGTTAGACACTTTTATCCAAAGCAACTTTCATACATTGAGTAGACAATCCCCACAGGAGCAATTTGGGGTGAAGTGTCTTGCCCAGGGACACAACGACATGCTGACTGCAGTGGGACTCGAACTTGCTACCCTCTGATTCGAAGTCCAGCACACTACCCACTCAGCCACAGCCTCATTAAGAGCATAAAACACATTAGAAACATTAATAAAAGTTACAATGCAGTGTAAGATGTGAATAGTTCAATTAAAAGTAGCGGCAAAAAGTCTTCAGCCTGGATTTGAAAGTAGTGAGAGTTGCAGCGGACCTTGCAGGTTTCTGGTAGTTTGTTCCAGATATTTGACAAGACCCCTTGCAAAATTCTCACATTCCTCTACCCCTAGTCTTCCCGTGAAATTATAGTTATTTTGACAGTTTTTATATTCCTTCTCTTTCGTCCATTTTGAATCCCCAGACAACACATTTCCCCTGTTTTACTGTTACTTACATACCGAACCCATCTTTGACCTTTTTCATGTTTCATGTTAGTAATTTGTTTGCTATTAGGTTGACTCTTGTGATGGTTACATGGCAGCATTGATCACGTCTGTCACATAGACCTGTTTGCGATTAGTGGGGCAGGTTCGGAGAGTCATTCTGTGTGCCATGAAACTCAAGAGAAGATCAATATGAAAATGAATGAGCTATGACTCAGAGGGAGAACTCTGCAACATGTTTAGCCTAGCTTAGCAAACATTATCTCAGCTTATAGTGAACAGCAGCGGAGAATTGAGCAGAGAGTGTTGGAGATGTCTCTCAACCACAAACAACAGTACATTTGTTCCAGTCCTCGAGAAAGCCGAAGTTAAATCAGATCTTACAGTTTGTTTTGTTTCAGGAGTAAAACATATCTGTAATAAAGCAATACCTAAAAATCCAGCACATGACGTGTGGCCTTTCATCAACAAAAAACATGTTATACAAAGCTTTAAACACGGGTTTAACATCCCTGCTATCAGCTGAGCAAGGCCAATCGGATAGGAGGCTGGATGCAAATATATTTGTTCTCGAAACAGCAGAAAGTACACATCAAAAGCTGGAAATAGTGACAAAAAGGAAGGTGGATATTGTGGGGAAAGGACTTGCATATGATGTATAAGCACTTCCGGAAGTCTTTAGTTTTATGGGTATTTATTTACATATTACATTTTCTGCTTCACGTAAAAAGTACAATTCCGATATATAATATATCTTAACATATGATTAGTAAAACCCTGTGTTACCTTTTGCCTTTTTTAGAAAGACTAGTGAAACCTAATAACCAGCCCACCCTTTTTAATTAATGGGTCGACAATGTGTAAATTAGTTGTAGTTAGCAGTCTCCTCTTTCAATCTGTAATTGTGTCTAGTTTGTGTTTAATCTCTATAATGAACACACAGTGATGAAATTGAAATGGATCAAACCTCACTTAGCATATTAAGATTTCCCACAAACTATTATTTTAAGCAACATTTAACACACAAAATCCCAGCAGCTCTTTGGCAGAGTTGTTTGTGTAAAACATTTCAAACCGGATGGAGCTGTTTAAAGTGGGCGGCTGCTCCTAAATGCCCCTGGTTATTCCTCTGGTCCCTCCGCCTATTATGAAAATGTCACAACAGCCTCCTTGCTCGCTCTGCATTTGTGCTGGATTTGTTTCCCCACATCTCACGGCTCATCTCATTAACCAGAGATGTGGACACCGCCACAGCAAGANATTCCCATGGAAAGTTTCCAATATGGAATATTTCCAAAATTCCCCAGCTTAACTTCCCATGGAAATTTACCGGAAACTTACCAGAAATGTACCGAAAATGTTCCGCCCCTTTGCAACCCTAGTCTTCATACATCATNCATCGAGACCCGTGTGTGTGTGTACAACATCACTTATTCCAGGATTAGGAGCTCTGCCTGGCGTTCATTAAAAGCTGTACGCCAAAGCAATCGGGAAAGAGTTGCATGCCATCGGATGGATGTGTACAGTGTTCTCTATAGTGAAGACATTGTTATTTTAGGCGCTGATCTTTCAAAGAGAATGCTGCAATGCGGCCGTCAGATGCTCTTGAAGCATGAATAATTGAGAGAAACCCCGGAGTTTAAAGAATTTATGAAATGGAGGCAGCGCAATGTTTGTTTAAGGCAGCGGCTTTTTGAGATGGCTGTTTGGGGTGACACGAGTAGGATACAGTCATGTTGATATGAGAGTGTTTTTGGCGGATGTGGCAAATGCATTTCATATTTTAATTTTCTGTGCGCTTGTATGGCTGCTTTGTTTATATGTTGTGTATTTGTAGAGGCTTTTGATGCCCTGGAGAAACAAAGTGAAACCCACAATGCCGTATTTTTCTGTCTTCTGACTAATTCCTATTATTACATATGGGCTATGAAGAGGAGTCATGTTTATTATTCCCATTCGGTAACATATGGAAATATTCCCCGGTTACCCATCATGTCAGAATGAATTATTGATAATGGATTTCAGTACCAATAGGTCAAGGTATAGCCTTATAGACGAGCCTTCTTGTCTAACTGCATTAGCCTACTTCCTGGACAGTCTCTAAGTAATTAACGAGCTCAGGGCTCTTACATTAAGAAAGCAGCTCCGCAGAGAGAAAGCTCCGATGGATTCCGAGGGCCCATCGCTCCGGAGCCTCTGTGGTCAGCCATAATTGTTGTCTGTAAACAGTGAAGATTCTGCTCATCAGACGTGTCTGAAAGTGGGGTGGTCTGCAGAGCATTGACTTAGCTCCAGTGCATTCTGGGAACGCTGCCATTGCTCTGTTTTGATGTTTTAGAAGAACTGTTTAACACTCAGGGACGCTCACCCACATGCAATATTCAAATGCATTGGAATTGCCTTGTGCTGTGGAGAGTTCGTCTTCCGGGATACTAAAAAACAATCATGTCAGTGAGGTTTAGTTGAAGTGTGTTGTACCCAAACAGTCCCAGTCATGGCTGGGCGTGTAACTGAATATGTTGAAGGAGTTGAACAAAGCCCTGGTTAATCTGCTGACGGTATTATTCAGCCCAGCTGCCATCTTTGTTATTGTCCGTAGCCACAATGGGCTCGCCCCTCTCAGCCAGTCTGAGGAGAGGGGAGGTGACTCTCCTCAAACCGATAACGCTGGGATCATTACCCCACTGTGGGTGTGAGGCAGCCCACTTAAGAACCATCTTCACAGCTGCTGTCTGTCTTTTGGATCATTCATGCTCCATGCGTGGCAACAGAACTGCTATTGACCAGTTGAATATGGAAATGTGTGTGAATTATTTGTGCCGCTGTGGCCCCTGGTTTTTAAAGCTGGCTGTCCATGTGTTTTTCTCTTCTATAGTTATCATGTGCAACTGTCAACATCAACATATCCTGCAAGATTTATACCACATTACTGGTGTCTTTAAAGAGTCCTGCACTGAAAGGCCACCTGCAGTGTTTCAGTGATAGTATTGTCACTGATAATGAGGTGCGGAGAATCCTGTGATACGCTCTTTCCTCTCTGCGTGTGTGTGGGGTGAGTTTTCCAGAAGATGTGTCACTGGAAACAGAGAGACATTTCTAACAGTCAGATTGCTTTGAAATTAGGTTTAAATATTTTTATTTTATTTTGCTTTATGTTTTTTAGGTCTTAAAAAAAGCATACAGAAGGAACAGGGAATGTAAAATTACAGCAGAGAATAAACAGAAAGTGGCGACAGTAGTTTCCATTCATAACCGTTTTGTTGATGTTGCTTCTGCTTGTGTTACTATACAAGTGTATGAGCGCAGCCATACTTGGGCTCAATTGGTGATGAAAGGCATTATTTTCTTAATAATGCAAAATAAAGTGCTGGAAGAATACAGGATGCATAGCTGTATAAATCATGTGCACACAAAAGCACAGTTAAAAGCAAGTATATTGGCAATAAAGAATAACAACGTCTGCAAGCTTTTGTCAAAGTTTGATTCATGGAGAAACATTTGGCCTTTTTAGAAGGAACACAATTTAGAGTATGAGTGTTTTTGGCAATGGCATCTTTGTTTTGTTAGTGTATTATATTTTGAAATAAATGTATACTGACAGTGAAAAAAATGGCTTCCTTGAAGTTACCCTTTTCAGTTTCAGATGCTTCCTATTGCAAAGCTGCTTCAACATAACAAGTATGTCCATCCACCTTCTCCATTGGACACAATGAATAATGCATTTATCAGTTAAACCCTTTTTAGTGTGATTTCCTTTTTTCACTTTGAAAGAGTAAATAAAAGAGAAAATATATATATATCTCACATATTATCTCAGAACATGCCCTGCAGTATGGCATTGCCTTTACGGATGTATTAGTGAATTCAAGCAGATGATCAGAGGTCAGTTTCCATAGGGAGAAGCGCTCGTCGTTACTGTGTTTGTTGAAAGAAACCCTGACAGGATCCAGAATGACACAACTAAGCCAACAAGGGCTCTCCTGTGTTTCTTGGAAGAGTCACCATCCCTGAGCCAAATGCTTTGATTGCGCATTTCCCTTTTCCCTTATTCACACCCTCCCTTAGTTCTTCTTCTCCTCCTCTCGTTTGCTGGAAAGGTTCCCTAAGTTCTCGAGGCAGGAAGACTCATACCTGTCATCACGGGACTGTTGTTGCATAACCAGCTCTCCTGCAGATGCTTGTCAGATGGTCCACAAAACGCTGACTGTTCACAGTTTAAACCTGAAGTGATAAAGGATACACCATTGTTATTCATCCTGTAAGTGTATCATAGCAGCATGCCTGTTGTCAAAGTGATTCCAGCTCTTTCAGATACTCTATTGTAAAT